ATGGAGTGAGACTCTGACTCAAAAAATTTAAAAAAATAAGATTGTCCCTATCTGCAAATGGCATGTTTGTCTACATAGAAGATCCCAAGAAATGTACAAGAAACAAAAAACAAAACAAACAAAAAAAACCTCCTGAAACCAAATGTATCCTAGCTGTGTTATTGTATTGTAATTTTGTAAAATGTTGCCATTGGAGAAAACCATTGGAAGGTATGTGAACTCTTTCTTATTTCTTCCAACTGCGTGTGAATCTCCAATTATCTCAATAAAATTTCAAATTACCAAAAGCTATTCTATATACAGTAAAAATAATATGGAACTGCGATATTATGATCATTGCAAAGCTTGTTTTATTGTTTGTTGTGGGAAATGTCATTAACTCAGAGAATAACACTTGTTGAACGACTCAACTGAAAAATAGTGGCACAAAAAGATTGGAAATAAATGAATAGAAAAAGCTAACCGAGGCAAACCCTAATCAAAATAAAAATTGCATAGCAATTTTAATATCAGATAAAATAATTATCATGGGTGAACATTATTATTATTATAAAGAGGATCATTAATAATAAAAGAAACAATTCATCTGGAACATTTAACAATCCTAAACTTGTATTATTTAACATGGCCTTGAGCAATTTATAGCAAAAATTAAGGATAAAGAAGAAAAGGTTGATTCACAGTCTTAGTTTTAGAGGTTGTTTAAAGCACTTTTCTCAGCTGGGCTCAGTGGCTTAGCCTGTAATCCCGCGCCTTTGGGAGGCTGAGGTGAGTGGATTGCCTGAGCCCGTGGGTTTGAGACCTGCCTGGGCAGACGAGACCTCATCTCTACAATAAATTTTTAAAAAAATTAGCTGGGCCTTGGAAGACTGAGGCAGGAGGATCACCGGAGCCCAGCAGGTCAAGGCTGTGGTGGCCGGGAGCGGCCACTGCACTCCAGTCTGGGCGACAGAGTGAGACTCCAACTCAATAAATAAATAAATAAATAAATAAATAAATAAATAAATAAATAAATAAAATAAAGCACTTTTCTCAGTAATTTATACGTCAAGAGACCAAACATATTTGTAAGTAGAGTATCTGAACAACATATGTAACCCATCATTTAGACAATGTGCATGATCTCAGGAACACATGGAGCATTTATAAAAACCACCCTTGTACTAGGTTACAGAGAGAGGACTCAATACCAAGGAGCTGAGACTTTGGAGCAAGGCCAAGCCATCTTGTCAGTAGGCCAAATCCAGCCTGCGATCTGGTTTTGCAAATGAAGTTTCATTGGAATAGCCATGCCCATGGACTGACATGGTGTCTAAGGCTACTTTCACATGACAGTGGCAGAGTTGGCTAGTTTCAACAAAAATATATGTCCCACAAAGCTTAAAATATTTACTGTCTGGCCTTTTACAGAAAAGGTTTGCCGATCCCTGCCATAAAGAATAGGTTTTTAGAACACAGTGCAGTGTTAGAAATCAATAACACACACAGAGACAAGAATTTAAAAATTAAAAATCACATTTCTAAATAATTGGAAGGTCAAAGAAGAAAGTCTGAATAGACTTACAGAATATATCAATGTCCAACATTGAAAATGTACATGTCAAAGTGCAGGACTTAGAGAAAGAGGGAATCAGATAAATTTTACCCTTAAGAATGTTGATTCTCGAGTATAAGAAAGATAGCTAGAGGTGGTGGTACGTGGTAGCTAGAGGTGGTGGTACGTACTTGTTATCCCAGCTACATGGGAGGCTGAGGTGGCAGAATTGCTTGAGGCCAAAAAGGAGAGACCGGCCTGGGAAACATAGCAAAACACTATCTGTAGGAAAAAAATATTTAGATAGAGAAAGAGAGAGAGAGAGCGAGACAGGAGAGAGAGAGAGAGAGAGAGACAGAGAGAGACAGAGAGAGACAGAGAGAGAGAGAGAGAATGTCAAATATGCCAAGCATTCAACTCAAGGAGGTAAAAAGCAGGACCAGGTGATTTTGGAGAGGGATGCCAAGACAATTCCATGGGGGAAAAAGTTGTCTTTTCAACAAATAGTGCTAGGGCAGCTATATGTCCACATGCAAAAGAGTGAAGTTGAAACCCTGCTTCACACCATATACAAAAATTCACTAAAAATGGATCAAAGGGCTAAATATAAGAGCCCAAACTATAGAACTCCTAGAATAAAACATAGGTATAAATCTCTGTGATCCTGAATGAGGCTATGATTTCTTATGTCTTTTTATGATCCCCAAAGCACAAGCAATACAATAAAATAATAGATAGATTGGACTTCATCAAAATTCAAAACTTTTGTGCTTCCAAGGACTCTATCATAAAAGTGAATGGGAAGAAAATGTTAGGAAATTACATATTTGAGAAGGGTTTTCTATCTAGAATATATAAAGATGAATTATAACACAACAGTCAAAAGAAACGAACAAAGGATTTGAATAGCTAGTTCTCCAAAGAATACATACACATGACCGGTAAGCACATGAAGAGATGCTCAACATCATTTGTCATTAGCGGAACACAAATGAAAACCATAGTGAGATGCCACTTCACACCATTAGGATTGGCTATCACCATAAAGATTGACAATAACAAGAGTTGACGAGGATGTGGCAATATTGGAACCCTGGTGCGTTGCTGGTGGGAATGTAAAATAGTGCAGCTGCTTTGGAAAACAACCTGGCAGTTCCTCAAAAGGTTAAACATGGTATTACCATATGACCCAACAATTCCGCCCCTTGACGTTTACCCAAGGGAAATGGAAACTTATATCCATGGAAATGTGTACATGAATGTTCACAGCAGCATTATTCATCATAGCCCCAAAGTGGAAACAACCCAAATGTTCATCAGCTGATAAATGGATAAACAGAATGTAGTATGTCTATACAATAGGATGTTAGTCAACCACATAATGGATTGATGCATTGATTCACACCACAGCATGGGTGAATTTTGAAGCAGACACAGGAGGCCACACGTGGTATATGAAATGTCCAGAACAAACAAATCCATAGCAACCAAGTAGATGACTGGTCACCAAGGACTAGGGGAAGGGAGAAATGGGGAGTGACTGTTAATGGACTCAGGGTTCTTTCTGGAGTGATGAAAATGTCATAGAATTAGATGGTGCTGATGGTTGCACAACTTTGTGAAAACACTAAGAGCCACTGAGTCATATGCCTTAAAGAGGCGTACGAAGCTGGGTGCGATGTCTCAAGCCTATCATTCCAGCACTTTGGGAGGCTGAGGTGAGCGGATTGCCTGAGCACACGGGTTTGAGACTAGCCTAGGCAACTTGGCAAGACCTCATCTCTACAATAAATCAAAAAATTAGCTGGGCGTAGTGGTGTGTGCCTATAGTTCCAGCTACTTGGAAGGCTGAGGCGGAAGGATCACCTGAGCCCAGCAGGTCAAGGCTGTGGTGGCCGTGAGCGTGCCACTGTGCTGCCTGGGTGACAGAGTGAGACTCCGACTCAAGAAAAAAAAGGCGTACAATTATTATGAATATTATAGTGTGTGAGTTAGATCTCAATTTTTTAAAAAAGAGAGTCAAGAAGCTAAACAGAAAACATCAGACTGAAACAAATGAGACCAGAAGGAAGTAATAAATGGATTTAATGTAATCAAGAAAAATAAAAGAATCAAAATCAAAAGCTGATTTTAAGGGAGGAAGTATAAAAACTAAGGAGAAAATGCTCTAAATGAGAGTAAGAAAAGGTTTCAGGCAGATGGACTGAAAATCAAACTCTGAATCTTCTGACCGATGTGTGAAATGCCTAAGTGTCCTGTTCCACCTGCCTACCTCTGCCGTTCCCAGGGCCTGACGCCTGGAGACGGAACCTTCCACGGAGCTTCCGTTTGCTTCCCATATGCCTGTCTTAAGGGTCCAGATGTGCCAAGAGTCTGGGAAGAGCTGGGGTGCCAGGGGAGAGGCTTTTTTCCGAGGTCCATCTTACAAAGAATCGATTTTTCCAGTGTCAACAGGCCGGTCCGCTTTCTTTGTCATACTGGACACATTATTTCAAAATGTGCAACACTCATAGGTCAAAGCAAGGACTTGACTAAAATTGTTCCCCAAATGCTCCTGGCTCTGAGCAGAAAGCGCACCCCTTCCTCGGCCTCATCCAAAGAGCTGTGAGCAGCTGTCCAGGCCCACTGGATTCTGTGGTTTGCTTGATTCTGTCTTTCTTCCATCCTTCCTCCTCTCTCTCTCTCTCTCCCTCCCTCTCTCCCTCCCTCCCTCCCTCCCTCCCTCC